TTCGGCTGCTTCTCAGGGGCAGAGGTCGGGCAGAGGTGGCGGAGAAGCGGGAGCCGGCGGCGGCGGGGGAGAGGGAAGAGGGGGCGGAGGAGAGGGCGGCAGCGGGGAAACGGGGGGCGGAGGCGGAGAAAGAGGTGGAGGAGGCAGGTTCTGAGGCGGCGGAGGTGGTGGAATAAGCGGCCAACGCCGCCCGCTCCATCCCGGGCGCTCCTTCGATGACGTAACCTCTGGCATAGGCCTTGTGGGGCGGGAGGTTTGCAGCACTCATCTCCGGCGTTCTTACAGGAAGAAGGCGGGCGGGCCGGAACTACAACTCCCGGCAGGCCTCGGACCCGCTCGCGGGCAGTTGCGGGGCAGTATGGGACTTGTAGGCGTAGGCCGTCGTGATTTCCGCAACACGCAGGCGGGGGGCTTTCTGTCCATCCCTGCAACCCTTGCTGTAAATGAGCATCCCCCTAGGTGCCTGATTATAAGAATCATCCGAGGGCTGACTAAAGGGGTAGATTAACAGGTTCATCCCTTAGAGATACTCATCCACGTGTTCTGGGTCGGAGCCTAGGAATCTGTGCTTTTTAACCTGCACTCCCTCGGCCTCCTTGGACAATATGATGCGGGGAAATCGGGAAACAATGAATTAGTCAAATGTCTATTATTCAGAAGTGTTTTCGGGTTCTTTTCCCCACTTCTGATGTTAATAGTAACGCATGGTTATTTTAGAAAATTGGGAAATAATGGGAAATTGTTTCCCTAAATTCTTTTTTACATATGCTGATTTCCTTCCAGGTGTTCAATATTGTCAATAATAATAATAACTAGCAATGAGAATTGAAATGTACCAGGCATGCTGCTAAAATCTACACACACTACGTTACAACAATCTGAAAAGCAGATACTATTATAATTGCTATTTTACAAACGCAGAAATGGAGGCCCAACGTTTGTTGCCCTGATCACATAGCTAGAGGCAGAAAAGGAGGATTTGAACACAGGTTTTCTGAATCCAAACCTTGCAATGTTTAACCTCAGTGATACTACATCCCGAGAGCTGGGTGGTATCATACACTACATAAGGCTTTATGGCCTGATTTTTTTTTTTTGTAGCCACAATTGATACCAAAAAAAAAAAAAAAAAAAAAAAAAAAAAATGGCTGCCACCACTATCCTCTCTTCTTTTCAGACTTTTGCCCCTTGTTACTTCAACTGGGCAAACCAGGAATTATGTCTGCTATTGTTATTCCTCACCTTAAATAAGCAGTGGAGGGGATGTAAATGATAAATTCTGCAATATCTTTGGCTCCTGGGAAGAGGCAGAATAGGCAGAGATCCAGGATGATCTCCACTCCAACATTTCCTATTCAAGAGTGTCTAAATCAGTGGTTCTCAACCTTCCTAATGCCGCGACCCTTTAATACAGTTCCTCATGACATTGTGGTGACCCCCAATTTCATTGTTACAAATTGAACATAATTAAAGCATAGTGATTAATCACAAAACAATATGTAATTATATATGTGTTTTCCGATGGTCTTAGGCAAACCCTGTGAAAGGGTCGTTTGATCCCCAAAGGGGTCGCGACCCACAGGTTGAGAACCGCTGCTCTAAATGTTCAGGTGAGTTTATACTCATCCTTCAACATCAGCTCAACGCTTCTCGTGATTAAGGTGAAGACAAGTGTTCTCTCCGTCTTCTCCATCCTTGAGATTGCCTGGTGTCTACTCCTACTTACTGACCCCACAGACACCCTCACCTGTAGCCCCCGAGAGCCATGTTCATTCTCCTCCAAGCCCCCGATCACCTGACCAGCCTCATCTCCGTTCTTGGCACATCACACCTTACTGTTTCCTTAGGGAGAGCTTTCCTGACTCTCAGACCTGATCTGGTCTTGTCTCACTGATGTAGACACGCAGAGCTTCATTCTTGTAGCAGTTATTATAATGGAAAATGAATAATTTATAGGCTAATTGGCCACCTGTGTCCCCTGCTAGAGTGTAAGCTCAAGAGCTAGGACCACAAATTGTCTATCACTGTGTCCCCAGCCTGTAGCACCATGCCTATAGCTCTCAGAGTGAATGAGTAAGTTTCCGTCTGTTACCTATAGTCATGGGACAGGATCAGAGAGAGGAAAGGAGAGGGAAGGAGGGGGAAAGAGAGAGAGAGAGAGAGAGAGAGAGAGAGAGGAGAGAGAGAGAGAAGGAACGTGGGGCGGGAGTGGGGAGTCACTTAGAGCCACAATCTTAAGAAAAGAAGTGTTATAGCAGGAGATGATGGGTTAATGTGCCAGGACCTAATGGGTTAGTGATCCTGGAGATTGGCAGCAGATGGTTCACCCTTTGGCAATCTCACTGCAGGTCATGGGACTTTGTGTCCTGGTTCCTGGAACAATGAGCTATGAGAAGTTGAGTTATGAGAAGGTGCTGCACCCTAGGCCTGTGACCTCCCCACTGGAATCGACAGAATTCGGGTGGGAGACGAGGCGTAAAGGTGATTAAGACTGGGGGGGAGGGGGCGGTATTATTCATCCCAACTCGGATAGGAAACCACCACTGCATCCCACATGCACCCCTCCCTTTCATCATTGTGTAATACACAATAATGGCCGCCAGGGGGCGCCATGACTGCATTAGTAATTCAGGACCTTTAGAAATTTCTATGCAGAATGTTGTTTTAACTTTTGCGCAGGGGTAGTCATCTCATTTTCAGGGAAAGAAAAAAAAAAAATCTTTGTTGGATGTCAGTATTAAATCCGTGACAAGTTGCCTCATCCCAGGGAATTGCACATGTTAAGGTGCTGGAATATTTTATGTCAAAGAGAACGTAAAGTGATGAAACCACCACAGCCCAAACCCCGATCTGGAAGGAGAAAGGGCAGGAACTGGAAAGACATGAGGCCTGTGGTTGCCATGGGAGACATGAAGCAGCAGAATGTACGTGGGAATTTTGGGTGGGTGGTGCTGGGTTGGAATCCCAGCTCTGTCGCGTTGGGGCAGTGTGACTTTGGGAACATTGCATCACCTGAGCTTTGGCTCCTCAGGAACGTGGGGAGGAGTAAGCACCATTTTGGCAATCCACTTATCATGCCTGGCCCTGAGCAAACTTTAATATATGTGGTGGTCACGAATTTACATTTGGCTTGGGAGGTTATTTGATTAACCTGTTTCCCCCTCTCCCCCCACCTCACCCCTCCACTTACTTTTAAATTTATGAGGGAAGAGATTGTAGGTTTTTGTTCCTCATCATCATTCCCAGCACCCAGAAAGGTGCCTGGTACATTAGGCTCTCGGTAAATGTATGATAGAGAGATAAAAAAAAAAGAAAGAAAGGAAGAAGGAAGAAAGGAGTGGATAGGAAATTTGTTCTTCTAAGTATAGAATAAGGCCATTTAAAACATTTGAAACTGCCCTCAACCAAATGTTAGAATATAGGCAATATTCAGAGGGGTCAGGTCAAATCTAGTGAGCGGCCCATCAGGTGTGGCTAAACCAGACTAGGAGGCGGGGGCAGGGAGCGGCCGGAGATGAGAAGTCGGTCTGTGGGTTGCCTTGGCAACCTTCCAACCTTCCCCTCCAAGGTCTCCATCCTTAAGCGAGGGCATTCCAGAGCCCGAAGACTGAGCACAGGGCCTCATTCAGACACCACGCCCACGTGGGGAAGACAGGTCGTTGGTCCTTGGTCATGTCCGCGGCGCGGCCCTTTTTCTTCTGCTTCCATGTATTCGTCCAAAGAGCCCGGGCGCGTCTTGGTGAACAGCAGCCTGAGCTGCTCGGGGCGGCCTGTGTTGTCTGTGCTGCCTCGGCCACATCTGCACGTGTGGTCTCAGCCGCTTCCTTTCGTTTCTTCCTGACGTTTCCCAGCCTCTCGAGTGACCGGCCGGATCCACATACGCAGAAGAAAGCAGGACTTTGAGAAGCAGGAGTCCTCAGCACCGATCAATGCTGTCGCCGCCTCCCCCCCCCCCCCCCCCCCAGATGCATCTTAGATAACATCTCGGGCCACAGTGTTTTTAACACATTGTCCTTTCGGGTTATTGTTACTAAAGGATGTCTAGCGAGAGAGGCAACCTGGTGGAATATAGAGGAAAGAGATGTTTAGAATCTGGGTTGAGTTTGCATCAAACCCCTTTGCTTATCGGCGGTGTGACCTAGGGCAGCCCATGAACTGATCCGCGCCTCTGTTTGCCCATCTGTAAAATGGGGATGCTACCACCCCGCCCCGAAAAGATGCATCTTAGATAACATCTCGGGCCACAGTGTTTTTAACACATTGTCCTTTCGGGTTATTGTTACTAAAGGATGTCTAGCGAGAGAGGCAACCTGGTGGAATATAGAGGAAAGAGATGTTTAGAATCTGGGTTGAGTTTGCATCAAACCCCTTTGCTTATCGGCGGTGTGACCTAGGGCAGCCCATGAACTGATCCGCGCCTCTGTTTGCCCATCTGTAAAATGGGGATGCTACCAACACCCACCTGTTGTTGTCACAAAAATTAGAGATCATGTATCCAGAGCCTGGTACACAGTAGGCCCTCACTGGCTAGTAGTTAATAACATGGTCTTGATACAAGATCCTCATATATTCAGGTGTAGTGTGTTATTGGGCAGAAATTTTGATTAATAAGCATCCAGACTTAACCATATATATATATATAACTTTGTTTTTATTACTTTGTTAGTTTTAACCTTGTGTTGACGTAGAGAGCCACTCAGCCACTGATGGGCTTAGTGAAGCCAAGTTCATGGTCAAACCCTGCATGTTATTGCTGCTGAGGTCTGGACCCATCGTTTGCCTTTGTCGTCACACGCAGCCATTTAAATATCCACAGGACGCCCTTCATGAACTCTCCGTCGGCCATGGTACCTGGCACAGTTTAAGAAAGTGGCTAATTTATCCTCCTGGACCCGCAGTTAGGAGACACAGAGCAGAGGCCCCAGCGGGCTCCGCATGGACATGGAGCAAGAGAGAGAAGTAAGCCTTGGCTATTTTAAGCCACTGAGATTTTGGAACTGTTTGTTACTGCAGCATAACCCAGCCCATCCTGACTGATATAGTCCAGACCACCTTCCACCAGCAAACCCACATCATCTGTAATGTAAAAACCAATGAATGAATGATTGCCTGGAAGCATGAATGAATCCGTTTCCTTCTCCCAGGCCCTATCCCTTTGGATCATGTCTTGGAATGACTACAAGTCCACTGATGCCACTGTGTGTCTCTTTTTAGACAGCTTCGGTCAGCCCTCCTTCAACTCTGGAGGTCCAGGAGGCTATGCTCAGCTCCTGGCTCTGACCACTCCTGGCCCCTCCGGTCCCTCCCCGGTGGGTGGGCTGCTTTCTGGTCACTGGCTGCTGCCACCTGCAGTTTGAGCAGCGAACTGCCTGCTGTGACCACACCCCAAAGTGGGGTTTCCTCCAGCCCCTAGGGGTGCTAGAGGAATGGACAGATCCCAGCGGCTCAGCCACGGAAAGGAACTCGGGTCTCCGGCCTCCACGCTGGTGCCTTCTGCTTCCACCCCTCCCCAGAGGCCTTTGGTTGGCAGGTTCTCCCAGCTCTCTGCCTCCGGGCACGAGGCAGGGCCATGTGACTCGTTGCAGCCTCTGAGCCCGGACATGTCACTCCTGGACTCCAGCCTGGATCTGCTGCCGCAGGTCTCTCTCCTCTGCCGCGGTGACGTTGGGCAGTATTTGAGATGGTGGCTGCTCCTTCCGCCTGAGGTCCGGGTTCAGGGTGACCGGGATCCGATCCCCTAGCCAACCCTGATGGACACGTAGAGTGACTAAGACATACACCTCCACTGATTTTAAGCCAGTCAGACTTAGGAGTTTTTGTTACCACAGCATTCCCTAGCCCAACCCGGCTGATAGTACCCATTCACCATCTATCTGGGTGCCTGGCATCTCCATGTCCTTCCTTTTTGGGGCGTATTCTCCACTTTCTGAGACCTACATGAAAATGCCAGACCCCTACTGTTCCTGCTTCCCTCGCGGCCGAGGTGCGGGCTCACAGCCAAGGCCAGCGGAGGCAGGGCCACAGCTGCGGGGCCCGGGGCGGTTCACGTGACACTGCTGGGCTGGTTCTGTAGCAAGAGTTTGGACTGTGATTCCGGCTGTGCAACCTCTCTCTCCTCTGGCCGGCTTCCCAAGCCCGTTCTCCAGCCTTCCGTCTCCTCTGTGAGCTGCCCTGTCCGCTCTCCATACATTCCCTCTCCGCTTAAATCACCCAGAGGTTTCTGCTGCTTGAGACGGAGAGCCTGCGACTGACGCTGCCAGTTGGGTGGCAACGGAAGGCTGCGAGGGAAACAGGAGGGAAAGATGGGGTGAGGTGCGGCTGACTCCTCTTCCCCATCATGAGCTTCTCCTCTGACAGCACCCCTTGCGTAAGCCCGGAGCAGGCCAAGGGGCAGGGGGTTCTGCTCAGATGTGGTCAGCCTTTGGGCATGTGAGCCTCACTTTTCTTATCTGTAAAATGGAGCAGATAGGAGGACCTCACTTTTAAAGGGTGGTAGAGAGCAATGCGTTTGAAAGAGGATTATTTGAGAACGTTCTAGAAAGCATAAGGCCCCAATGCAAGTTTACCCCGTTATTCTCGTGTTAGCTGGCCTGAACATGTCTAACTGGGGACTGTTGGTGGAGGTGACGGGGAAATGGAGGCTGCCCTTTCTGACTCCATTCTGTCCCTCGGCCCCTGGGAGGTCGCAGGCCAGTCCTCTCACCCAGGCCCATCTGAGCTCCGCCCAAGAGACCAGAGACCCCAGTAACTCGAAGATTCTCGAGGGGCTTGGCAAAAGCCAAGGAGCATAAAGGTGGGGAAGGATATTCGGGATGATTTTTGCGGAGTTCAGAGAGGGAGAGCCCGTCACCCACAGCCACACAGCAGCTCTGCTGCGTTCGGGGTCGGCTTCAGGTCTTTTCACGCTGACAGCGTGCCTCAGCCCGGTGCTGTGATCCGAGTTGGCAAAGGCGATTTGGAAATACAACGACTCTCCCTCAAATTTATGACCCCAGTGTCACAGCCTGTGATCCGCTGCTCCTTGTCCCCTCCCGGGGGACCACGTCTCCTTCTCCTTCCCGCCATCGGAAGTGCTTTATTGGGGAGGGTGGGAAATTGCTGAGTCGATCTTTTAAAATGAGCAGGGGATCGGAGTCAAAGGCTTTCGAGAGAACTTTCTCATCCAAGCGGCTGCCCACACCTCGCGCCGCCTCCCGCCCGCTCGGCTGAAGCGCGCCCTTGTTCTCGCAGCTCTGCCCCAGATTCACGGCCGCTCTCCGAATCCTTGGCAGTTCCCTCTGCCCTGTCCTGACAACCCCCGGCCGTGAAATGAAAGAGCGAGTCCCCGAATCCTGCTCCTAATGGCTTTGTCCTTGCCAGCGATCCCACAGAGAGACCTGGACGAGGGAGCCTCGCGAGGCCTGCGCCACGGGAATGGCCGTGGGTGTGGGTGGGAGGCGGGGAATGTGCAGTCGCCAGGAACGAATGGATGAGAGAAAGGGCATGAACTTTGGGCTTTAAATGGGAAAATTCCAGAGTGCTGAGCTGGCACCTGCCCGCCCCAGTGCCCTCTGGGCCCGGCTGGGCCCGGGCTCCAGGCTGGCGGGCCGGGGAGTCACAATTTGGAAGGGAAATGGCTCCAAACTGGAGCAGCCCTGGGAGGCCCGCCCACCTAGCCAGCGTTCATCTGCCCGAACCACCCCAACCCAGCGTCTCCCCTGAGCTCAGACACCAGCACTAACCCCACATACCATTGCCACCCCCCCCCCGACCCCCCGCCACCAAAGGAATTTTAAGAAATCCTCAAAACCTGAGGAATTTTAATAACCCTTAATTCAGGAATTTTGATTTTAATACCCTGTGGCAGGGCTCACCACCAGGGTGTCCCTGAGTGCGGGAGGGTAGGCTCAGCCTGGCGCCTGTCCCCGCCCTTGGCTGTGGGAGCCACTGGGGGGAAGGCAGGAGCAGCTGCATCCAGGGGGCGCTGTGTTCTGCATTGTCCCCACCGGGCTAGGCCTTGCACCCGACCTGGGCAAGTGCGGGGACCAGGGACAGAGGCCTCAGCGCTGTGTCTTCGGGGCCATGGGATGCGGTCTGTGACTTCAGATCCCAGGGACCTGGGACAACTTCCCCCCCCCCCCCCAAGTCTGTCTCCTTATCTGTGAAATGGGCATCACCATGGCAACCACTCAGGGAGGCTGCAGAGCGAACAAAGGCTGCCATAGAGTCTGTGCTCAATAAAAATACAAACCAGCAGTGCCGTCCTCCCCCGGACCCAGCACCCACGCCCACACGGAGACTCTCCGGAGAGCGTCAGCCTCGCCCCAGGGGGCTGGGGCTGGTCTCACGACCCGCAGGCCTGGCCTGGGCAGCTGAGCCGGTCCTGGCTGCTTCTCTGAGCTCATGCACGCAGTCACCCCTCAGGTGATCACTCACAGACGTTTGCTCAGTGCCTCCCTGTGTCGCCGCCCTATGCCGCCTGGGCCGAGAGGCTCGGTCAAAGGCGCCACAGTCTCAGTTCGTGCAGCTCACAAGCCAGCAAGCTGCCAACAAGCAAAATCAGGATCAGAATCATTGGGGTTCGGGGGCCAGGGAAGGCCTCTGATGGGAGGCGGCGTTTGGGTCAAGAGCTCAGTAACAAGGGGCCGCCACGCCCAGGGAGGAGATGCCACGCGCTCAGTGGAGATGCTCAGAGGTGTGGCCTCCGTGGACTGAGCAGAGGGCCGGGGGGCGGGGGGCTCGGGGAGCCGCTGGGAAGCCATTCCGGAAGTGGGCCCAGCGGATGGGCTGTGCTCCCACCGGCACCCCCGAGGTCCCCTCCAGCCGCTCTTCGCCCGGTACCGGCTGCGCCTGCGTTGAAGGACGGGCCTTTCAGGATAGAGCCGAGCGCCCGGACTCGGCACGTATGTGTGGCCCACCGCCCAAGTGCGTCCCCCTGACCTCGGGGTCCCACCTGGGGGAGAGGCACTTCCCTGCTGCTGCCAGGCTCTCCTGCTGCCCTCCGTGCGTGGAGTGCAGGCTGCCCTGCTGGAGCCGGGATGCCCTTCCTGAGTTGGGCCCCATGATGGGCCGTCCTCCAGGCCCAGTCTGAGCGCCCCCTGACCAGGCACCCTTGATCCTCACTGCACCCAATGGAGGACCTGCAGCCACACTTGGAGGTCAGATCTGGGGTCCCAACACCATGTTGGCACGACCAGCAGTTCATACAGTGCTGACCCCTTGGGGGCAGGCAGCCAAGGCCCTCTGGTCATAGGGAGCCTGAGACTCCTCCTGGCCAAAGGAGCTAAGGAGCTAAGAGGCATTTAATCCAGCCTCATTCATTCATTCATCCATTCATTCATATATTCATTCATTCATTCATTCATTCATCCATTCATTCATATATTCATTCATTCATTCATCCATTCATTCATCCATTCATTTATTCATTCATTCATTCATCCATTCATACATCCATCCATCCATTCATTCATTTATTCATTCATCCATATAGCCATTCAATAAATATTTGACAAGCACCTACCATGCACCATGCATTATAGTAGCGTCAGGTTACATATTATATACACACTAGAGGCCTGGTGCACGACATTCATGCACTCAGGGTGTGGGGGTGGGGTCCCTCAGCCCAACCTGTGCCCATGGCAGTCCAGGAGTCCTTGGGGGATGTCCAACTGACGGCTTAGGCCCACTCACCACGGGGAGTGGGCCTAAGCTGCAGTCAGACATCCTTAGCACTGCCGTGGACTGCTGCTGTGCTCACCAGCTGTGAGCCCAGCTTTTGGCTGAGCGACGCTCCCCCTCTGGGAGCACACTGACCACCAGGGGGCAGCTCCTGCGTTGAGCATCTGCCCCCTGGTGGTCAGTGTGCGCCATAGCAACCGGTCGTTCTGCCATTTGGTTGATTTGCATATTACCCTTTTATTATATAGGATGGAGAACTCTGGTGAACAAAATCGAAGTGATTATGGCCCGCAAGGACAGCAGTAATTTTAATTGAACAAACACAAAATAGGCAAACCCCAAAACACATCATTCAGAACCACGATAAGTGACAGAGAAAGACAAGGACAAGACATGCCACATATGCTGCAGATCCGCGTTTGGTCGAACCTGATCATGGTACATGTATGAACGCTCAGGGGAGGGCCTAGTCAGGGACAAACACCAGGGGTGCCTGGGTCACCCAGGTGGCTCGTTATTCAGAACGCAGGCCAAAGTAACCGAATACGAGCACCGTGGTGAGGGCAGGTCTGACACCTGCCGGTGTTGAGATCAGCTGCCGGATCCGACGTTCATGGGGGCGGTTACATTCGATGATCGATGATCGTTGACTGGTGGGCGCCAGGCCCCCTGGATGTGAGCTGTTCGCTTGGAGGCCCTTGAATGTGGTTCATGCTACAGCTGGTTAGGTTTTCACGCCCGATAGGGTCAATTACACCTACATTTTCGTGCGGCAGGCACAGAGGGGGAGCTTCGCTGCTAGGAAAGTCTCTTTCTAGGTTAGCAAAAGAGAATTCACGCTTGAGAAAAGATGCTATTTCTGCCTCTAATCTGATTTTGTACCCATTTCAATTCTAAGCTGTGTCCCATTCCAGAGCAAAATCTCCCCCCTCCTCATCTTCTTCCTCCTCCTCCCTTCTCCCCTCTTCCCTTTTCTCACCTCCTCTTCCCTCCTCCCCCTCATCATCTTCCCCTTCCCTCCCCCCCCCATTCCCCTCTCTTCCCTCCCTCCCCTGCTTAAATCAATCCCCATTTATTTGCCTTTGATTTGGGGTGTGGTAGCGATCTGGGGGTGCAGATCCGTCCCCGGATCCACGGACCTAATTTACAGGAGCGCCTCTGTTTCTCTGTAAGCCGGCGCGGTTCCGTACCACCTGAGCACGTGTTTGTTTTTGCCCGTCTTCCGGGTTCTGGGAGGGGGAACAGGAATGAGAGGGACAGTGGCTTCCCTCTTAGCGGCTCCTGTCTGATGGAGCCCCTCTCTGCTGGGGGTCTCTGTCTGAGGACACTTGAGACGAGACGACCGCAGCCGGACGGTCCACGCGGGAGGCAGAGGGAGAGGCACCGGCCCGAGGTGCTAGCGGGCGTCAGGGCCCTGTGGGCGGCAGCCGGCTGTGGATGGTGTGATTGAACCAAGCCCCGATGTTTGGGATGATCTGGAATCGGGGGCGGGAGAACGGGCATGATGGTGGGACCAACCTGCCTCCCCCACCTCCCCTGTTCCCACCCCTGGGCGCCTGCCTTCTTGTTTGCGGCCATTCTCCCCTCATTGAGTCCCGTCCCCAAATCTTTTTGGTCTCGGACCTTCACCCCTTCCTCTCACTGACAGTGACCAGCCTGCCCACTGTGCACGCTGGACAGATGCTTCCCTCCTGGGGAACCGATGTCCCAGGAGGTGAGTGGGCGGGAAGTGTGTGGGCACTGGCTCCAGGGGGTTGTCCCTCACAGCTGACGCACCCCTGCGAGCCGCCGTGTCCTCGTCCCTAAAATAGATTCCAGAGCCGCTAGAGGCCGGGCTCAGCAAGAACCTGGCCGTGCGTATGCACTGCCCTCGGGCTGGCATGGAACGTGCTGGCACCGTCGCCATGGCGACCGCGGCTGAGCCCGGACGGACCACCGACATTGTTCCCTTCCGTGGAATCAGGCAGAACCTCTGTACCAACCCTAGAAAGATGATGAAACAATCCCGGCCAGCATGGCTCAGTGGTTGAGCGTCGACCTATAGCTGAGCCCGGATGGACCACAGACATTGTCCCCTTCTGTGCCATTGGGCAGAACCTCTGTACCAACCTTAGAAAGATGATGAAACAATCCCGGCCGGTGTGGCTCAGTGGTTGAGCGTCGACCTATGAACCAGGAGGTCACGGTTCAATTCCCGGTCAGGGCACATGTCCGGGTTGCGGGCTCCATCCCCAGTGTGGGGGGCATGCAGGAGGCAGCCGATCAATGATTCTCTCTCATCATTGATGTTTCTACCTCTCTCTCTCCCTTCCTCTCTGAAATCAATAAAAATATATTTAAAAGAGAAAACAAAGGAAAAGAAAGATGATGAAACACGTTGGGAGTGATGCCCCCTTTCCACGGAGTTGCTCACGTCTCCAGTGGAGTTACCTGCGGGCCGGAAGCGTGTTGGAAACGGACCGGAGCGCCAAGGGGACCGAGGCCCTGGAGGTGCCTTCAATGCCGGGAGCTGGGCGCACCCAGCACGGAGGAACCAGACACAGCTTCCCCGTGAGGCGCTTTGTTCAGTCACCTCCACAGCCATCCCGGGCGCTGACAGCCGCCAGCCAGCCCCAGGCGCCCGCGCGGGCACAGGAGAGCTTGTGCGCCTCTCACCGCAGTGACAGCTGCGGGGATCAAAGTGTAATGCTCCGATCCCTTGTCTGTTTGCAGGTGCCCAGCGGGCTTGAATGTGCTGCCTCATCCGAGGAGCCCGCGAGGGTGGTTGCGTGGAATTGAGAATGGAAGGAGGCCCAGCTGACACCAGCCAACCCCACTGCATTTTTAATCAGGGCTCCGAGCGCCCCGGGCCTTCCCCAGGGCTCGGCGGCTGCGCCTGGCTCAGTTATTTTCCGCCTTGTCAGGCCCGCGGAGGCTGGGCAGGCCAAGGAACAGAACAGAGGCCCGGCAGGAATAAGCCCCCAGGAATAGAACTCCCTGCAGGAAAACCCAAGTCATAAATATCTGAACATATTGTCACGCTTTGCGGTCAGCTTAAAACGCACGGTGCTACCAGCCTGCCCTGATTCTGAGAAAGTGGGCCAGGAAACCGACGGGGGCAGAGATGCGCTCACCCCTGCCCCTTAATGACATCTAACAACAGTAATTATTGTGGTGATAATAGCAACGGAAGCAGCTCGCAGGGACTGAGAGCTTATGTGTGGGTCAGGCAGCCTTCTAGTTACCCGATGTGTGCTAATGCATTTCATCCTCACCACAACCCCATGAGCTCGGGGGCTACTCTCCCCATTTTACAGAGGGGAAAACTGAGGCTCAAAGGGCAAAGGCAAGAACCAAGAGGTAATATATTCTCAGATCGATGTGCCCCCAGCCACCAGAGAACCTACAGTCTAGTGACGGGGTCAGTGGGTTTTGGGATAAAGAAGCTGGTCACTTGCTGTAGGCAGACCATGACACATGACATCAACACAACCAGGAGACGCAGAGGGTTAGGGAGGAGGGTGTCTGGGCCTAAAAAGATTGGTGGATCCCAACCAAGATGGAATATTATGTATTCCATTATGTATTAGAGCAAGATGGAAGGACAAAGGGGGAAGGGACTCCTGTTGGCAAAGGCCATAACCAAGTCTGGATAGAAGGGAAGGGTCCCAGTGCGGATAGAAAGGCAGGTGGAGCTGGCTGGGAAGCCTTGGATGCCGAGTGTGAGGGGCTGGACCTTTTTTGGTCAATGGAAGGGAAGAACAGAAACTCGGGGCAGTGGTGGCCCAGGCCACTGCTCTTCCTCTGGGCTCTGGGGAGGAAGTAGGAAGGACACGTGTCCTTTGGAGGCAGGACCTCTGGCTGAATCTTGATTTCCTCTGTGAATTTGCTGCATGACCTTGAGGAAGTTACCCGACCGCTCTGAACCCAAGAGAATACTTCCATGCATGTCATAGTTTTTTTTTGGAGAGAATGAAATATGATAATAGATGTCAAGGGTGAGGTATACAGCAGGTGCTCCATGATGGTGGCCAGTGTTTTCATGTATGAATAGTCATACGAACTCTCCGGTTTGTTTACTTTTGTGTGTGTGCCTGTTTCTAAAGTCTTGCCCTCCTAGGACCTACCCTCTAAAACAAGGAACATAAAGACCCACCTTATCTTTCTGGATGAACTCCTACTCAACCCTCAAGACCCATTTCAGAAGTTTTCTACACCGTGAAACCGTTGCCATTTCCCACAGCGCAGAGCAGGCCGCTCTCTGCCACACCTGCATCCTGCCCTCCTCACGTCATAGGGTGGTTGTGTCTGTTTATGGTCTATCTTCTCAGCCAGGTTGGGCGTTTCTCCCCTTGCTCAGCAGGGCTCCTAGTGTGGTCTGCACCCCGGGGCGGGGGGAGGGAGCAGGGGTCTCCCAGATTCTTCCAGAAGCTCCTCAAGGTAAAGAAATATTTACATAATAAGGCTAGGACATTATTGGCGTTTTCCCTCCTGTTGACACCTGCACTGGTGGGGGGAAGCTGCTGGCATCTTACGCAGGTCACAAAAGTGGCCCCGGAGTGTGCGAGGACTCACCGTGTCCTTCACCATCACACACCTGCATTAAAACGCAGGCCAGTTTCACGCAAGAACATCCTTAAGGAAGCAGTGAAGTGATTCACTTCATCAGTTCTCTACCCTTGAGTACCTGTCTTTATAATCGGGCGGGGGGGGGGGGGGGAGTACGCAGGAGCACTTCTGTGGCACCCAAAGCACAATGCCGGGAGGACTGTCGCGCCGAGGGAGAGCCCAGGCGATGGTGGGGCTCGTAAGCTGGAGTGTCATTGCTTTCTTCCTGGTCACGGCAGCCCGTTCTTACAACCGACGAGCCATGTTGCTCTTCCCGTGAAATGCCTTCATTCCGCAAAACAGTCTATTTATTTACTTTTAATATGTTTTTATTGATTTCAGAGAGAGAGGAAAGGAGAGGGAGAGTGATAGAAACATCAATGATGAGAGAGAATCATTGATGGGCTGCCTTCTGCACGCCCCATACCAGGGATCAAGCCCACAACCCAGACGTGTACCCTGACCGGGAATTGAACCATGGCCTCCTGGTTCATAGGTCGACACTCAACCCCGAAACCATGCCAGCCGGGCAATAGAGTTTATCTTTATAAAATATGTTACATGTTAACAAGTAATGGGTTTGTTATTGTTCTTAAATGAATGAATATTTATATAATTCTTCAGGGTTAGTTTCTTATATGCTAGAGAGTTTCTTATATGCTCTGGGGCCCTCAATAACTTTTAAGTGTGTCAAGTTGTCTGAAGAGCAAAGATTGTGAGAGCCTCTGGCTCATGGCCTGGCACGTAGTAGGTGCTCATTAAATAGGTGTGGTGTCCAGGCCTTCGGGGGTGAGGCCAGGCCAGGCTGCCTGGCCCCGATGTCACCCTGTTTCTCTGTTCTTCGAAGGGCAGTGCTGGGTCTGTCTGGCACTCCCTCTAATGACTCTGAGCAGGGGCTGGACTGGTGACCTTGGAGGTCCTTGAGTGCGAGCCCTGCCGCCTGGTTTATGCTAAGTAGGCCCTCCCGCCCGTGAGCCCTCGCACCCGCATCCCGAGTCGAATCGCCTCTGCACGCCGCAGGTTCTCGTCCCATTTCTTCCTGCCTTTACCTCTGGGTCTCGGTAGGATGGGAAGCCCGTGAGTTGCTGAGACAGTGATTTGCAGTTAAATCTAAGGAATGTCAGAGGCCCAGCCTGGGGCGGATCTCGGCTCTTTATAAAAATGGGCCATTTCTGCGTAGAGCAAAGGCGGACCACTCACATGGGCCTCCGCCTGGCACCGACGGCAGTGAGGGATCCGGAAGCCGCAGAGCTGACCGCTCTCTGTGCTCAGAGGCAGAAAGAGGTGGGGGCGCGGTGACCTTCCCTGACCCGGTAACCCAGTCTCCCGTCCTTCCTCTCTCCTCCCTCGGCCTGCGGAGCGCATCTCCTGGCAGCCTGTGTGCCCGTCTGTCATCAGAGCTGAGGCCACAGTACAATTGAGCCAGGAACTGGCCAGGGACAAAGCTAATTGGCTGGTGCACTCAGAGCACAGCAACCCGGCAGCTCAGGGCCGCTGGCTGGTGAGGTTGCCGTGACCTGGGGCCACGGAGACTCTGTGAGGGGCCCACACCTGGGCTGCCTTCGCTGGAGTCTCCGTGGGAAGAGGCCGCAGGGGACACGGCAGGTCCCAGGTGGAGGGCCCAGGCAGCAGGCCCCAAGGCAGATGGGGCCCTGGGGAGTGGGCTTGGAGCCACACCTGTGAGGGTCCACGGGACAGGACCAGCAGGAGACGCTGGGCTGTGGGCAGCTGCCACAGGCCTCGGCCAGGCTCCCTGCGCGCTCAGAGCTGGGCCCCCGCAGAGCTGTCCTGCAGGAGGTGAGGGGTCTGAGTGTTGCTTCTGCACAGTGGCCAGTCCCTGCTTGTCTGCTGCCTCCTGGGGGCGGGGGTCTCAGAACTCAGGCCATCAGTGCCTCGAGGATACTTTTCCATTGATTTCTAGAAAGAGTGGAGGGGAGGGAAGAGGAGGGGGAGAGAGAAACATTGATGGGAGAGAGACACATTAATTGGTTGTCTCTTGCACCCACTCCCACCGAGGCTGGGGATAGAACCTGCAACTGAGGTATGTGCCCTTGACTGGGAATCGAACCCGAGACCCTTCAGTCACTCAGGCTGATGCTCTAACTTCTGAGCTAAACCAAACAGGGCCATACAGTTCTTCTCAGTCTACTGTCATTCCCGGGGAAGGACTTAGTGAGCGCCACCAGCAGCCAACACTCCTAGAGGCAGAGAGAGGAGGGCCTGGGCCTGGTGCCCTGGGCGAAGTGAAGAGGCGGTGGGAGGCGGTCTGAGGAAGCTCGGGGCGGGGCGGAGGGCGGTGAGTCTCAGCCTGTGGGGAGCTGGAAACGCAGTAGGGTTGTTTCAAAGGAAATCAAGGGAAACGCACTCAGTGCTCGCTGCCGCATATGTTTGGATGAAAGGATGAGTGAATCAGTGAGACTGTGTATGGAATTCAATCTGTGGAAGCATAGAATTGCTCTGGGGAGGAGGGGTTAACATGTGGCTGGCTTAGGGTCAGGTTTTGAGTGGGACAGTTTCCCAAAGGGTGTGGGACACAGCAGTCCCTACGATTTTCTTAGTGGGGACACAGGTCGTGCGTGAAAGAAAGCATCTCTCGTCCCGGGCCGCTCTCAATCCCGTGTCCAGTGGACCCTGAACAGCTCAGAGCTTAGGGCCGCGGACCCCGCGCCCTTGAAATCCGTGTGTAGCTACAGTCGGCCCTCTGCCTCCGCGGGTCTCCAACCTCAGATCCAAAATGCCGCCGCCCCTGGAACAACACAGTGTGAACGTGTGAAAGTCCACGTATACGTGGGTTTTTTCCCACTTTAAACCTGTGTCGTTCAAGGGTCAACCAGACATCAAGGAGAGGGTCTCGGCTGGTGTTAGGGTGTCCCTACTGCCTCCCCGTTTTCTAACAGAAAAGAGTGGCTGCCGCTCAGCGCCCCCCGCAGCCGGCCTGGCAGGCACCAGCAGCGTTATTTGCTTCCAATGTTCTTATTTCCTGGCAGCCGTCTGTTTACAGCGAGAAAAATCTACTTTCCAGTTACCCTTGTGAGAGAAAGATGCTTCACGTGAATCGTATGAAATGAAAATGAGTGAGTTGACTTAGAGAGACACGTGGAATAAGGAAGAGCGCTGGCTCGAGTCTCGGTGGATTCAGCGAACGGTGGGGCTTAGGAGCGAGTCATCTGGGAAGCGCTGGTGGAGGGAGCGGACAGGAAGTGGGAGGAAGCCCCCTGCACGGCGAGCCACAGGGAAGGCCCCCACTTCCCGTCTCTGCGTGGCTCTGATTAACACGCCTTTCTCCTCCTAGCTCCAGGGCCGGCTCCTTCACGGTCTTCCCTCGCCCTCCCCAGGGGACAGTCACCTCGCGCCTTGCCCTGTTCCCATAGTCCTTTGGGGCCGGAAGGCTTTTCTGTTCTGTTAGAG